GGATGGAAGACTGAAGAAACCCCAACTAAAGAATCATGGCAAGAAAAATTGATGGACTATGCAGAACTGGCAAAATTGACATATAAGCTACGGAACAAGGATAACTGTGACTTTAAAGATGAATGGGAACCCTTTACAAAGTATTTGAAGACGCAACAAAGTGAATTGGACTCCTTGGCAGGTTTTGAATAAACATTCACAAACTTTTTATTGATAATAATCAGCTAAATAGTTTGAGGATCTATACAACTTTGTAACATGCAGAAAACAGCATTCTTAGAGAAACCAAAGACTGGAACTGAGGGAAGCTGGGGGGTGGGGGTGGGTGGGTTTTGTGTGGGAGGGTGGGGGGGGGAGGGAGGAAAAATGGGGTGGGGGGAAACAAGGATGATATGTTTTTGGATAATATGTCTTGTTATAATTTTTAATAATTTTTTTTTTAAGCCACCTTAAAGCTCACTGCTAACCTCCCTCGCCTGCTCTTTCCAGCTAGACTGCCACTGTCTGCGGAGGCTGCATGGACCAGTTGTCTCCACCTGCCGTTCCGGCATCTGTGCCTCCCTCCGTCTCTTTCTTGGCGCTGGAGTCTGCCTTGGCTCGGAGTGGCGAGGATGGCGGCCCTTTGGAGCTTAAAAGCAGGTCGGAGGTTGTTCTGGAGCGCTGGGTTTGGACGGCCAAGAGCTCCGGATTAGTTCTGTCAGGCCCATTTGTCACCATTTTGCTGACGCTAATGAAGCCCAGCAGGGTGGCGGATTGAGTTTGGGTCAGGAAGATGTGAGAGAGCTGCTGTTACGGCGGCGGAACCGCTCCAAGGCTCTGCCAGCACGACTCCCATCTCGGCAGAGACGTCCCTGGTAGTTTTTAGGGGGCGACAGAATTGCCGATAAAATTGATTTGGAAAGGTGTGGCCCGGTCAGCGATGAAGCCGGTGGAAATACAGTGGTACCTCGGGTTAAGAACTTAATTCATTCTGGAGGTCCGTTCTTAACCTGAAACTGTTCTTAACCTGAGGTACCACTTTAGCTAATGGGGCCTCCTGCTGCCACTGTGCGATTTCTGTTCTCATCCTGAAGCAAAGTTCTTAACCCGAGGTACTATTTCTGGGTTAGTGGAGTCTGTAACCTGAAGTGTCTGTAACCTGAGGTACCACTGTATTTGCATGCAATGGGGAACCTGGGTCATAACAAAGTTGGGACTAGTTTTGTAAGGGGAGTAGAAGAGCCAGTGAGCCATCTAATCATAGGATCGTAGAGCTGGAAGGGACCTCAAGAGTAATCTAGTCCAACCCTTTGCTATGCAGGAATCTCAACTACAGCATCCCTCACAGATGGCCAACCAACCTCTGCTTATAAACCTCTGAGGAAAGAGAACCCACCACCTTCTGTGGGAGTCCATTTCACTGTTGCACAGTTCTTACCGCCAGAAAGTTATTCCTGGAGTTCAGTCGGAATCTCTTTCCTGTGGGATGTGATCCATGAGAAGCAGTCAAGTACAACATTGCTTGCAATGCTAGAGAAGACATGTGAGGGAATGTTTGGTCCAGCCAGTCGCAACTTCCTGTTCCTCCTGGCTGGAGCATCCTTCCTTTTGCATGTGATAGAATGTAGGCATGACCTTACCTGTCCAGGTAATAAAAGGACAAGTCACGCAGCACACCTTCCCTCTTTTTGACTTCCTTCGTCGTTTGACCAGCTTTTAGCTAGGACTGCTCTGCTAGCTCTCAGCTAGCAGAAGCACTGGGATAATTCCCCCATATGGGGTAGATCCACATGTACGTATTTGTAACTAGGTCTGCCTTCAGGGATCCAACTGTGAACTGATGTGAGTAAACTTCTTTAATTGACTTTGAATAAGATTGTTGTGTCTTTTTACTTTGTAAGAGGGATTCAAGGGAACTTAGCAGGAACGTACAATTCAATCTGAGACAGATTGAGTTGTATGATAGCGAGAAGCTCGCACGAGCCTGCAACCAGTTATCTGATGTGCGTAAAAAGGGGAATGTAAACTCTGCTATTGCTAGTACAAGTTAGGAAGGATATTAATAAACAATAAATCCTCTCCTGCCACCCTGAACATTCCCACAATTCCTTGTCAAATGAACCCCTGTGGTTTGGGTCCTGTCCTCTCCATCAGCCGAAGAGAACAACACATGTCACCTTGCGTTCCCAGAAGGAAATGTGAGATATAAATAGGATTGTTCAATCATTCCATTGGTCAATGTGTAGCAAACAAGGGCATTCCAAGATGGCTTCCCATTGACATCTGCTCTGTTTACAAGGAATTGCCCCTTTCCTCTCTAAACGGTGGCTGTGCCTGCTTTTGAGTTTCTGGCATCTATTATCTGGGGGGTTAACTGTCTGTGCTTCGTGGACGGGCTTCTGTTTTGACCCTGTTGGAGGAGAAATGTCTGGCGAAGGTTTCATTAGCCCGACGAGCAGCGAAAACTGTCCTTTCGTGTTCAAAGCAGGGTCCCCTGGGGTTCTTGCAAGTGAGTCAGCCGGCACCTTCTGTCCTGTTGATCTTTTGAATTCCACCTCAAAGCATCTATAGCTCCAGACAGTCCGGTGTGTAATGGGGCATGTACAGAGATCGCTGCTGGCGAATGGAGTTCGTGCCCTGTAATGGGTTCTTGGTAAATGTTACAGGCAGGGAGCTTAAGGGGCTGGTCAGCAATTGCAGCTAGAGAAAAGTTTATTCTTCCTCTCTCGTAGCGCTGGAATTTATGGGAATGCAAGTGTGATGGCCTGGGACTCGGGCTCGGACTCAGAACCAGAGGCGTCTCAGTCTGCACCGGATCCTTTGCCTCAGGCATCATCTGAACCAAGTCTGGGGCTTGATCCTGAAAAGTCCCAGTCTGCACAGGTTCCCCTGCAACTAACACCAGCTGGGTTGAGTTATGGGCATGAGCCTGCCCTGGCTCCAGATGCGGGGATTACCTCGTTGCCTTCAGCTGGGCCATCACTTACAGCTGCTCCACTACCAGTTTGGTCAGGGGAGGCTGAGGCGGCCTCTGGGTCTAGCAACCCACCGACGTCTCTCAAACTGCAGAGACTAAGGTCTGAGAGAAGGAGAGACCTGCATACTCGCAGGAGGAGTGATCGCCTTCGGGTGAGACAGGGCGGTGAGTCGCCGGGGGATCAGGACCGGCTCTGGTCCATGGGGTCACAAAGAGTCGGACACGACTAAATGACTGAACAACAACAACAAGAGAGTGGGGCCCTAAGCTATAGTTTGTTTAGCTTATACGTAAATCCGGCACTGGGGTCTCGCACTGCTTGGAGACTGGGGTGGGGTGCCACACCGCGTTCCTAGGGGGCCTGGGAGAGTGGGTGGGCAGGATATTTTAACTGTTGCTTGTCAACGCCAGCCGATTAGGAGGCAAAGCTTCGAAACCTCACACTTTGGAAGCCCTGATAAGGGGCTCTGCAGGCTGGAGGGTCTGGAGTCTGGGCGAGGGCAGGAGATAACTCAAGCTGTCAGCTCTGTGTTCACACCTCGGGCCCCGCATCTTTATGCGCCAAAGGCCTTCAGCGCCTGAACATTGGCCGAGAGAGGCAACCATCTTGGCAGATTTGTAGGGGGGGAAGATGGGTGTCAACTGCAAAACGTATGGGGCGATTTCAGCCTCATGGGGGCTTTTTAATTTAATTTTTAATTTAATTTAGAGCCGAGGCAGAGGCGAATAAAATCGCACATGGCACTGAGAGAGTGGGCATCGGTTAAGAGAACAAGAAGAACATACGTTCAGAGAAGATTGGAAAACGCTTATTGAATATACGGGAAATAACTGTGTACAGCTGAAAACACTGGCAGCGTTAAGATAAATTCAACGGTGCAAATGTTTTGATGGACGTAATAATGGCATACTGAATGGCATTGTTTTTGTAAAGTATGCAGGGATTTATGATATGCAAAATGAACCATGGAAAGAGAAGAAGAGAAGTCACTGATATCTTCAGGATGTAAAAATGAGTACAGTGGTACCCCAGGTTAAGAACTTAATTCGTTCTGGAGGTCGGTTCTTAACCTGAAACTGTTCATAACCTGAGGTACCACTTTAGCTAATGGGGCCTCCCGCTGCCGCCACTCAATTTCTGTTCTCATCCTGAAGCAAAGTTCTTAACCCGAGGTACTATTTCTGGGTTAGCGGAGTCTGTAACCTGAAGCGTATGTAACCCGAGGTACCACTGTATTTTAAATTGTAAAACAGAAAATTTAATAAAAAATATATTTTTAAAAAGAGAAAGTTTTTCTCCCTCTCTAAATGACTAAACAACAACAAGTCTTAAGTCAGATGTTCATCTCCACAGTAAGTCCCTCTAAGGCACGAATGGGGAGAAGCAGCCCTGAATATGTTGTTGTTGTTTAGTCATTTAGTCGTGTCCGACTCTTTGTGACCCCATGGACCAGAGCATGCCAGGCACTCCTGTCTTCCACTGCCTCCTGCAGTTTGGCCAAACTCATGTTGGTCGCTTCGAGAACACTGACCAACCATCTCATCCTCTGTCATCCCCTCCTCCTTGTGCCCTCAATCTTTTCCAACATGAGGGTCTTTTCCAGGGAGTCTTCTCTTCTCATGAGGTGGCCAAAGTATTGGAGCCTCAGCTTCAGGATCTGTCCTTCCAGTGAGCACTCAGGGCTGATTTCCTTAAGAATGAATACGTTTGATCTTCTTGCAGTCCATGGGACTCTCAAGAGTCTCCTCCAGCACCATAATTCAAAAGCATCAATTCTCTGGCTATCAGTCTACTTTATGGTCCAGCTCTCACTTCCATACATCACTACTGGAAAAACCATGGCTTTAACTATACAGATCCTTGTCAGCAAGGTAATGTCTCTGCTTTTTGAGATGCTGTCTAGGTTTGTCATTGCTTTTCTCCCAAGAAGCAGGCGTCTTTTAATTTCGTGACTGCTGTCACCATCTGCCGTGATCATGGAGCCCAAGAAGGTAAAATCTGTCACTGCTTTCGTTTATTCCCTTACTGTTTTCCAGGAGGTGATGGGACCAGTGGCCATGGTTTTAGACCACAATTCCCAACCTACAACACCATCAGTGAGACGGCAACTCATTCATCCAGGTATGTATTTTAGGGCACTGTTTTGTGAAGTATTCTCTGCGTTTCCCCCATGCTTTTTGAAACTCTTGTCTAGTGTGATCTCTAATTGCCTCTGTTAATCTAGCCAGTTCAATATACTCTAACAGTTTTTCTTGCGATTCCTTTTTTGTTGGCACAGTTTCTTTTTTCCAGTTTTTAGCAATTAGAATCCTTGCCGCTCCTGTGGCATAGAGGAATATTTTCTGATCTTCTCTTGCTATACCTGTGTCCGTTATCCCTAGTAGAAAAGTTTCTGTATTTTTCATAAAGTTAAACTTAAACATTTTTTTAAACTCGTCATATACTATGTTCCAGAAGCTTTTGGCCAGTCCTATGGCTTGCAGCCAGCAAGCCAAAATACCCAGTTTAAACATAACACTCTCATATCAAGAGGTCGACATGACCCAACGTTTTAGCTCCTCTGGCCAGTTTTATCTTTTAAAATAAGGACAATTGGAACACTTTAAATAAAAGATGTTTCTTAGCAACAGGACCAGGCCTGGTCACCTTTGGTTAGGTGGCAAATGAACTTCAATATGCCATCTCTTACTTGCATTTATATTCTAAACTGAAAAGTCCCCTAACACTGCAATGTTTCCTCATGGCAGCTGTGAGGGTGGGGGGTCAGAGGGAGGAAGGAAATCTGCCTGATTACAAAAGTCAATTCAAATTCCATGCTAGGGATTATTAGGAAGGGATCTGAATCTCTAATGTGGAATTTCATCCAGCTGGACCATAAAGAAGGCTGATCGCTGAAGAATTGATGCTTTTGAATTATGGTGCTGGAGGAGACTCTTGAGAGTCCCATGGACTGCAAGAAGATCAAACCTCTCCATTCTGAAGGAAATCAGCCCTGAGTGCTCACTGGAAGGACAGATCCTGAAGCTGAGGCTCCAAGACTTTGGCCACCTCATGAGAAGAGAAGACTCCCTGGAAAAGAGCCTGATGTTGGGAAAGATTGAGGGCACAAGGAGAAGGGGATGACAGAGGACGAGAAGGTTGGACAGTGTTCTCGAAGCTACCAGCATGAGTTTGGCCAAACTGCGGGAGGCAGTGGAAGACAGGAGTGCCATGGAGCAACCATGCTTGGAAAACTGTGGGCAGTCCGGGTCACTGCTCCCCCCCACCCCCCCAAAAAAAGTTAGAGGAAAACTGGTAGACAAGTTAAATTGAAATGATCAAGGGCTTCAGCAAATTGCCTATGAGGAAAGGTTGCAACATTTGGAGCTTTTTAGGTAAGAAAAAGTTGAGTGAGAGAAGCATGACAGAGGTGTACAGAATCATAGAACCATAGAATTGTAGAGTTGGGACCTGAGGGTCATCTAGTCCAACCCCCTGCAACGCAGGAATTTTTTGCCCAATGTGGCCAAAACCCTGCTCTGCTCAGTGGATAGAGAAAAGCTTTTCCTCCATCTCTAAAAACACCAGAATTTTGCAGGCATCTAGTGAAGCTGAAAGTTGGAAGATTTGGGACAGGATAAAAGCAAGTTTACACAGAGCAAAGTTAAACTATGGAACTCACTGCTGCAGGGGCCAGGGATGCCCACCAATTTGGGTGACTTTAAAAGAGGACTGGACAAATTCCACGGAGGAGGAGCGGGCTATCGGCAGCTATAAGCCAGGGTGGCTACGCCGTGCCTCCGCTGTTGCTGGAAACCACAGGAGGGGAGGAAGCGCCCTGAGTTCAAATCCTGATGGTTGGGTTTCCTACTGGCATCTGGTTAGCTACTCTGAGAACAAAATTGCTGGGCTGGATGGGCCACTGGCCTGATCCAGCGGGCTCTTCTTACGATAATGAACACGCTCACAGAAGCTTACCCTTTTCTCCTTTGGGTAAGGGGAACAGAAGTCGGTGCAGCCCCAAAGTGTAAGGCATCCCCCAAATTCTCTGATCGCCCTTCAGGAATTCCTGGCATAGAAGCCGTCCTATTGGCTCAAGAGGGCATTCTTTGCGATGGCATGTGCCTGGGGATAACGGCTTTTTTCTGCTGGCGTGTTGACGTGTGGGGGGCAATACAAGCCCCATGACATCACCCCACCCCTTCTGAAACAAGCGCTATCAGCGATCCCGAGAGCAGAGCTGAGTTTGGCCACCTCCTCCCTCCCTCCCTCCGGAAAGGGTGCCGATATTTTACTTCTAAGGTTTTTCGCCTGACCTTTCGCCATAGAGTCCCAGGGAAAGTGACCACAATTTGCTATGGGGGTGGGGGTAGATCAGTTAGTAGAGCATGAGACTCTTAATCCCAGGGTCGTAGGTTTGAGCCCCACATTGGGTGAAAGATGCCTGCATTGCAGGGGGTTGGACTAGATGACCCCCCGGTGTCCCCGCTGATGCTTTTTAAAGCCCTAAGTGTAAGCATCTTGAATTGGGCCCTAAAACAATTTGGCAACTGGTGTGTATCTTGGGAATATTGTTGTCTCCTGTTCTGTTGCTGTTTGGGGTTTTTTGCTAGGGTTGGGATGGGGGACAGAGAAGTCATCTCTCGGGTCTTTTGTAATAGGCTTCAGATCTCCTTCCCCCTGATTTCGGAAAACGTCTTTTAAAATTGAACCCAGGACCTTCTGTATTGAAGTTCAGTGCTCTACCATGAACCACTAATAATAATAATAATAATAATAATAATAATAATAATAATAATGCAGTGGTACCTCGGGTTAAGTGCTTAATTTGTTCTCGAGGTCCATTCTTAACCTGAAACTGTTCTGAACCTGAAGCACCACTTTAGCTAATGGGGCCTCCCGCTGCGCCGCCAGAGCACGATTTCTGTTCTCATCCTAAAGCAAAGTTCTTAACCCGAGGGACTATTTCTGGGTTAGCGGAGTCTGTAACCTGAAGCATATGAAACCTGAAGTGTATGTAACCCGAGGTACCACTGTAATAATATATTATTTATACCCTGCCCATCTGGCTGGGTTTCCCCAGCTACTCTGGGAGGCTTCCAACAAAGTACAGTGGTACCTCAGGTTACAGATGCTTCAAGTTACAGATGCTTCAGGTTACAGACTCCGCTAACCCAGATATAGTACCTTGGGTTAAGAACTTTGCTTCAGGATAAGAACAGAAATCGCGCAGTGGCAGCGGGAGGCCCCATTAGCTAAAGTGGTACCTCAGGTTATGAACAGTTTCAGGTTAAGAAAGGACCTCCGGAACGAATTAAGTTCTTAACCCGAGGTACCACTGTATTAAAATACTGTGGTCATTCCCTAAAAAGAAAACAAGCTTGCTGTCCCCATGGTATCTTGTTGGGCTCAAACCTGCCTTTTACTGAGTTGGACCAATTGGTCCACCTCGCTCAATACTGCCTACGCTGCTGGCAGGCAGCATCTCTCCCTGGTTTCAGGCAGGCTATCTCCCAGCCCTACCTGGGGATCGAGCCAGGGACCCTTCTGCATGCCAAGCAGATGCTCCAGCACTGAGCTACATCTCGTCCCGGTGATTCACGTCACATTCCTTAAGAAGAAGTCAAGTTTGCAGTCCTCATGGTCTGAATAAAGTGAACAGGAGGGTGCCACTTCACAGCCCGCAGGTATTGGTGGGGATTGAACCGGAGGCCTTCTGCATGCCAAGCAGGTGTTCTGCCGCTGAGCCACAGCCCTTCCCTGCTGGCCCACTGCCCTGGTCGAAAGGCGTCCTTCATTATCTCGCTGCTGTTCCGTTATCGGACTGAACTAAGAGGTCGGGCTGCTGACATATCAACCTCACACCCAACGCCTTGTGCGCCGCCTGCCCCGACACAGTGGCTTGACCAGAATCCAGCACTCCTGGCTTCCACCTCCCCCCCCGACCTCTCCTCTTCTCATCAAACAGCCCTCATTGGCTAGATAGGGTAGGTGACATCACCGGTGCTGGCCATGCAAGCCCTTCCAGGGACACATTCCCAAGTCGAGGGTCTCTTTCCAAAACATTGGGGTAGGGGGGTTGTCTCCAAAGCCAGCCTCTAATTTTAGACTCCCTTCTGCAGAAAACAAACTGACACCCTCTCGAAATAGCGTGTGATCTGCCCATATCTCCCCAACCAATAGGAGCCAGAGATGGGCCCGCTCCCCATCCTCGCTGCTGCTGCCGGGGTCACGGGGAGCAAGTTGCTAAAAACGGAGGTGACTTATGGGTGCGCTCGTGGTTTATTTATATTCCAGCTCAGTGAAAGCAGTCCGGGGGTGTGTGTACTGGGGAGAATTCCAAGGGCCAGATAGAAAGGCCCGAGGGCCACATCTAACTCCCAGGTTTGAGGTTCCCCATCCCTGCTGCAGCCTGTGACTCTAAACTGGACCATCGCTTGCCGTTACTGCCCCTCGCTATCTCCATCACAATTCTTTTAATGCTCAGATGGGGGATCCTCTGGATATTGATGGAGTCCAGCTCCCATCATCCCGCTCACCACTGGCCATGTAAGCTGCAGTTGATGGGAATTGGAGTCCAACAGTCTCTGGAGGGCCAAAGTCTCCCCATCCAGGAACTAGCCCATCACTTGCCTTTACTGCCACCAGCTCCCTCCATCACCAGTCTGGCCATCGCTTGCCTTTACTGCCCCTAGTGATCTCCATTGCCACTCTAGGCATCACTTGCCTTTACTGCCACCAGTGATCTCCATTGCCACTCTAGGCATCACTTGCCTTTACTGCCACCAGCTCCCTCCATCGCCACTCTGGTTATGGCTTGCCTTTACTGCCCCTAGTGATCTCCATTGCCACTCTAGGCATCACTTGCCTTTACTGCCACCAGCTCCCTCCATCGCCACTCTGGCCATCGCTTGCCTTTACTGCCCCTAGTGATCTCCATTGCCACTCTAGGCATCACTTGCCTTTACTGCCACCAGCTCCCTCCATCGCCACTCTGGCCATCGCTTGCCTTTACTGCCCCTAGTGATCTCCATTGCCACTCTAGGCATCACTTGCCTTTACTGCCACCAGCTCCCTCCATCACCATTCTGACTATCGCTTGCCTTTACTGCCCCTTGCAACTTCCATCACAACTTTTAATGTAGGAATGGGGGGAACCTGTGATGTTTCTAGACTACAGCTCCCCCCATCCCTGACCATTGGGCTGTGCTGGCTGGGGTTGATGGGAGATGGAGTCTGGCGGCAACCGGAGGGGACCCCTGTTTACCCACCCCAGCTAACAGAACCCGGGAGAAGATCACGGTGGGTATGGCTTGAATTCTCCAAGATCAGAATTTGTGCCCCTTCCTTCTTTCTTTCTTTCTTTCTTTCTTTCTTTCTTTCTTTCTTTCTTTCTTTCTTTCTTTCCTGCCTTCCTTCCTTCCTTTTCCCACCCACTCCACATCCTGCTGAAACTCTCAAAAGGTGCTTTTAATTAGCCAGCTTTTGTGGACACTTGGTTTTGAAAAGCGTGACCCCCCCCTTCCGTTTTGCTCACCTCATTAAAACACAGCACAAATATCCCCTTGGGACATGGTGTTGTCTGGAGACCCTTTGGATCCAGAAAGCACCACCGCCCCGCTGCCTTTGCTTCCCCCAGCTCCGAGCCCCTTTCCCCAAATACTGGGGTAATTAGCCCAGCCTTTAGTTTCTGGAGTTCGGCTGAATCAGCTAATGGGCTGCCTACTGCTCCAGCGCACCAGAGTTTGGAGCACAAATAGAAGCAGGCAAATAGGACCTCCAAGACCCAGCTGGGCCACAGACGTCAGATGTTGTTTGAGGCTCCTTTGCAAAGATGGGCTTAATGGCGTCTGCGGAACAGGGATGGCCGACGTGGTACTGCCAAACTCAAAGCAGCCAAGATGGCCAGTGCTTGAGAGTTGTGCTCCAGCAAACGTCTGCATTGGAAAAGTTGTGAAGGAGGTAGTGAGGGTCAGCAAAGGCAAGTGACGGTCTGGTTTGGGGAGGGGGAACCTGGTGCCCTCCCAGTTAGATTCCAATTTCTAGCAGCCCCAGATGGCACAGCTGGTGGTTCCTGTTCTGACATTGAAGGTAGGCTGGGACAGTAATGGCAAGTGATGGCAAGTGATGGCAGCAATGGGAAACCCGTGATATTCTTCTTCTTTATTTGACAAATAATAATAATAATAATAATAATAATAATAATAATTTATTATTTGTACCTTGCCCATCTGGCTGGGTTTCCCCAGTCACTCTGGGCGGCTTCCAACAAAGACCAAAAATACACTAAAATGTCACACATTAAAAACTTCCCTGAACAGGGCTGCCTTCAGTTTTCTTCTGAATGTCAGGTAGTTGTTTTTCTCTTTGACATCTGGTGGGAGGGCGTTCCACAGGGCGGGCACCACTACCGAAAAGGCCCTCTGCCTGGTCCCCTGTAACTTGGCTTCTCGCAATGAGGGAACCGCCAGAAGGCCCTCAGCGCTGGACCTCAGCGTTCGGGCAGAACAATGGGGGTGGAGACGCTCCTTCAGGTATACTGGGCCGAGGCCGTTTAGGGCTTTAAAGGTCAACACCAACACTTAATAATCATACATAAATAAGATACATAAATTAACCGTACATAAATTATTACAAAGTAATAATGAAGGTTTTGTTGGCGTAGTATGTAATGAATTTTAATATTTTTTAACTATTGTTGTGTTAATGTTTGTGTACAGGCATGGTCCTCACAATAAACGGATTTGATTGATTGATTGAACAAAGTAATAATCATACATAAATAAGAATAAAAATGTGCACCCCACCCCTGAGACCATTCCATTGCAACTATCCAACCTCCCAAAATTTCAACGCCTCTTGCGATGGTTTGACCCCTTTCCATTTTAACAGCACAAATTTGACAAACACCTTCCACATCTCCTCAAAATCATTTCTCCTGCATATTCCCAGTCTTACCTTAATGGCACATGTCAATTTATCATTCATAGTTATATCCCACACACCTCTTTATACCACCCTTCCATTTTATATTCCGCTTGCCCCTTCCACTTCCTGGCTATCATAATTCTTGCAGCTGTCAATAACTTTGTGAGTAAGTCCTTCATAGCCTGCCTATGATATTCTAGGCATATTTGGAATCCAACTCCCATAAGCCTCAGCAGCCTGCAGGGCCAATGGTCAATGGTGATGGTGATGGGAGTTATAGTTTGGCAAGGACCATGCGTTTCTTACCCTTGCTTTAGAAAAGGGTGGTTCAATGTGTGGCCTGAGGGCTGCATGTGGCCCTTGAGGCTTTTTTTTTTTTTTTTGGCCCTGGGCAACATTTGACACTCCCCCCCACCCCACCCCACCCCAGCCCTTGCTCTGCCTTCCTAGAGCTCCGTAAGTGAGACACTGGGCTTTGTGAAGGAGATGTGAGGACAGCCTAGTGCAGGGGTCAGCAAACCTTTTCAGCCGTGGGCCGGTCCATTGTCCCTCAGACCTTGTGGGGGGCCAGACTATATTTTTTGGGGGGAAGGAGAATGAATTCCTATGCCCCACAAATAACCCAGAGATGCATTTAAATAAAAGGACACATTCTACTTGTTATGTACTGAGTTGAATAGGATTCAGAATGCAGCAGTCTGATTGGTCCTAGAACAATAGGATACAGAATGCAGCAGTCTGATTGGTCCTAGAACAATAGGATCCAGAATGCAGCAGTCTGGTCCTAGAATAGGATCCAAAATGCAGCAGTCTGATTGGTCCACAGGAGCCACCCAATCCAGCTCCAGGTGGAAGTGAATCCACAACCTGATTGACCTACAGGAGAATCCCGGAATTAGCCAATCACATGGGGCCCATTGTGTAAATAATGTATATAAAGCAGACATTCTGGGGGAACTTCCATTCCTCCTCACCACTATGAGCTGAATAAAGAGCATGAAATCAGCTCTCAACTCCGAGTATATTTCACTAATCATGTAAAAACATGCTGATTCCCGGACTATCCGCGGCCGGATTGAGAAGGCAACTGGGCCGCATCCGGCCCCCGGGCCTTGGTTTGCCTACCCCTGGCCTAGTGCCTCCATTGGGCAGCTTTGGGAAGGCAGTGCAAGGGCGGGGGAGGTGGTAAATCAAAATTTGGGCTCACTTCCCAACACAGTATTCTGTGTCGAAGTACTCTTACAGCTCTCTTGGTATGAAAAATTGGACCGCCCTGCTTTAGAAGAAGACAGAGTCATGATCGAGATAACTAAGGGCAGTGAAGGCAAGTGATGGTCTCGTTCAGGGAGGGAAAACCTCTGGTCCTCTTGGACAGGGTCCAACTTGCATTGTTGCCAGCCAGCAGGGTCAGAGATGAAGGGAGATGGAGTCCAGCAGTATCATGGGGTCATTGCTTTGGGGCTTCCCAGAAGAAGCATCTGGGTTGACTTCTGTGAGAGCAGGATGTTACCATGGTTCTCTTTATATGTATGTATGTGTGTGTGTGAATTTTCTGTTTTACAATTTAAAATACTCATTTGTTGTTGTTGTTTAGTTGTTTAGTCATGTCCGACTCTTCGTGACCCCCATGGACCAGAGCACGCCAGGCACTCCTGTCTTCCCCTGCCTCTCGCAGTTTGGTCAAACTTATGCTGGTAGCTTCGAGAACACTGTCCAACCATCTTGTCCCCTGTCGTCCCCTTCTCCTTGTGCCCTCCATCTTTCCCAACTTCAGGGTCTTTTCCAGGGAGTCTTCTCTTCTCATGAGGTGGCCAAGTATTGGAGCCTCAGCTTCAGGATCTGTCCTTCCAGTGAGCACTCAGGGCTGATTTCCTGAAGAATGGAGAGGTTTGATCTTCTTGCAGTCCATGGGACTCTCAAGAGTCTCCTCCAGCACCATATTTCAAAAGCATCAATTCTTTGTCGATCATATCAATACTTCCCTTCTTCTCTTTCCATGACTCATTTTGCACAACATAAATCCCTGCATATTTCACATAAACAAATCCATTCAGTATGCCATTATTACATCCGTCAAAACTTATTTACATTGTTGAATTTATCTTAGTGCTGCCAACGTTTTAAGTGTACACAGTCTCCCCCCATATATTCAATAAACAGTTTCCAATCTTCTCTAAACGTATGTTCTTCTTGTTCTCTTATCCTAGCTGTTAGGTCCGCAAGCTGCGCATATTCCGTCAACTTAAGTTGCCATTCTTCTTAGGTCGGGAACTCACTCGTTTTCCATTTTTGGGCTAACAGAACACGGGCCACAGTAGTGGCATACATAAATAACCGTTTTTGACACCTGGGAATTTCCTTCTTAATTATCCCCAAAACTTGCTAAAATGTATAGAAATCAAGATAAAGACTGTTGGAAATGTAAGGAGAAGGAGGGGAATTTCCTTCACATGTGGTGGACTTGTACCAAGGTGAAAGCCTTCTGGGAAATAATATACAATTAATTAAAAAATGTTTTTAAATATAATTTCAATAAAATACCAGAGACATTTTTGTTAGGTTTAATTGGAGAGGAAATTCCAAAAAAAGATGTAAATTTGTTTATGCACAGCGGCTGCAAGGATACTTCTGGCTCAGAAATGGAAGCAGCAGGAACTTCCAACATTGGAAGAATGGCAGATCAAGATGGTGGAATACGTAGAGTTGGCAAAGTTGACGGGGAAGATCTGGAATCAACGCGATGAACTGTTTCAAAAGGACTGGAGCAAATTTATATTTTATATGAAAGAGCATTGTAAACATCTGAAAACGTTTGTAGGCTTGAGCTGAAACGTTTTGTAATGTGAATATAAGGAATGGATTTACATATAATGAGGTGAAATATTAAAAGAAGATAGAAGGTAAAAAAGTGGCTATAGAAATGCTAAGAATTTAGTAAAGATGTCTGGAAGTCAGAAAGAGGGAGGGAAGGAAGTCGATGCTCAATTTGAGCAATGTTTTAAGTTATAGAATTATGTAACAGAATGTGATTATGATAAATATGGAAAACACAATTTTTTATTTTTTTAAAAAAAGAATTATCCCCAACGAAAAGGACTCTGGTTTTGTGTTGCTGTTTTTTTTGAAAAATACTTTTAAACATTTTTTTCAATTCATTATGGATTATTTCCTGAAACTCTTTTATCCTTTTTCAGGTCCAACTAGTGTGGTTCTTCATTTGGGCAGGAGGCTTCCTCCACTGTCTTTTTAACCTCCCGGTCTTCTGCTCCGTCTGATGGGAATGGCACACTGGGCGTTGCCAAACCCACATGGGTGTGGAGCAAGTTTTCCTTGGCATCATCTGACATGCAGAAGTGGTGACACGCTCCCCCCCTTCTGTGCTCAGCTCCCCCCCCCCCAGCCTTTGCTGCTTTCGGACCTTTATTGGGCCTGATAAAGGGAGGTGTTTGTGTGGAAAAAAAGGATGCCTGGGAGTTTAGCTAATGAGAAGGAGGGAAAGGAGCCCACAGACCAGAATCTCTCTGCTGCAGGCAAAGCAGGGAAACAACTATGGAAAGCAAACTTCCGATGAACCTTGCATTGTATAAATATAAGTTTGTAGGGAAGTTAACAGAAACGATATAAGAAATATGTAATTGTGCGGTATAAGATAATCCACAGATAGAGTACAGCGAGACTAATTGGAAGTCGTTTTTAATTTCTAGTTTTACAATCGTTCACATCATTGGGAGGACAAAGGATGTTAGTTAGAAGAATTGTGTGTTTCATATATTGCTAAAGATAAAGGTAAAGGGACCCCTGACCATTAGGTCCAGTCATGACAGACTCTGGGGTTGCAGCGCTCATCTCGCTTTATCGGCCAAGGGAGCCAGCATACAGCTTCCGGGTCATGTGGCCAGCAGGACTAAGCCGCTTCTGGCGAACCAGAGCAGCACACGGAAACGCCGTTTACCTTCCCGCTGGAGCGGTACCTATTTATCTACTTGCACTTTGATATGCTTTCGAACTGCTAGGTTGGCAGGAGCAGGGACCGAGCAACGGGAGCTCACCCTGTTGCGGGGATTCGAACCGCTGACCTTCTGATCTGCAAGTCCTAGGCTCTGTGGCTTAACCCACAGTGCCACTCGCGTCCCTTGATATATTGCTACTGTCTGTCAATTTATAGTTTGTTTATTTGATTGTATGTTTCTCTGCTGGTTGGTTTGCTTTCCTAGCATAAATGTACAATCATACCTCGGGTTGAATTTGTGCTCTGCGGCAACCCAGAAGTAACAGAACGTGTTACTTCCGGGTTTCGCCGCTCGCGCATGCGCAGACACTCAAAATGACATCACGCACATGCGCAGAAGCGGCAAAACGTAACCCGTGGATGCGCAGACGTGCCGTCGCGTCTTACATTCTGTTCAGGATGCAAACAGGGCTCCGGAACGGATCCCGTTCGCATCCCGAGGTACCACTGTATCTATTTTAAAACAATAAAGATATACATGTTGGAAAGCAAACTTCCGAAATGAAATTGGGCATCTGGTCGAGTCTGGTTCAGATTTGAGGGGGCAAAATTACACTCCACATCTCCACCCCCACCCATGACTCCCCTGTGAGGAACGGAGTCAGCTTTTTGGTTTAGAGGGGCTTTTTGGTTTAGAAAAAAGGCAAGATTGACATGTTAGAAGTTTCAGTATACCTGAAGGAGCGTCTCCACACCCATCATTCTGCCCAGACACTGAGGTCCAGCGCCGAGGGCCTTCTGGTGGTTCCCTCATTGCGAGAAGCAAAGCTACAAGGAACCAGGCAGAGGGCCTTCTCGGTAGTGGCGCCCACCCTGTGGAACGCCCTCCCACCAGATGTCAGAGATAAACCACTACCTGACATTCAGAAGACATCTGAAGGCAGCCCTGTTTAGGGAAGTTTTTAATGTGTGACATTTTAGTGTATTTTTGGTCTCTGTGGAAGCCACCCAGAGTGACTGGGGAAACCCAGCCAGATGGGCGGGTACAAATAATAAATAATAATAATAATAATAATAATAATAATAATAATTATAGTGTGCCGTGGAGAAGGCAGAGAGAGAAAAGTCTGGGCGTCCCATAAAGCTGAACGTTGGAAGATTGAGGACAAATGAAACTGCTCCTTCATGCGGCACAAAGTTAAACTGTGGAACTCCCTGCCACAGGAGACGGTAATGGCCACCGTTCTGGATGGCTTTAAAAGAGGACCAGGCAAATGCATAGAGGATAAAACTCTTGATGGCTACTAGCCAGGATGACTATGCCGTGCCCATCACAGATGGAGGCAGTGATGCTTCTGAATGCCAGTTTCTGGAAACCAAAGGAGGGGAGAGGGCTCTTGTGTTCGAATCCTGCTTGCGGGTTTCCCTTTGGGGCAGCTGGGTGGCTGCTATTAGAACAGGAGGCTGGCTTAGAAGGACCAGAAGGTTCTTCTTATCGTCTTATCCTAGGATGGGTTTTGGCAATTTAAAAAAGACTACAGTATATGAAAGGGATGCAGGTGGCGCTGTGGGTTAAACCACAGAGCCTAGGACTTGCCGATCTGAAGGTCGGCGGTTTGAATCCCCACGATGGGGTGAGCTCCCGTTGCTCGGTCCCTGCTCCTGCCAACCTAACAGCTCAAAAGCACGTCAAGTGCAAGTAGATAAATAGGTACCACTCCGGCGGGAAGGTAAACTGCGTTTCCGTGCGCTGCGCTGGTTCGCCAGAAGCGGCTTAGTCATGCTGGCCACATGACTTGGAAGCTGTATGCCGGCTCCCTCAGCCAATAAAGTGAGATGAGCGCCACAACCCCGGAGTCGGTCACGACTGGACCTAATGGTCAGGGGTCCCTTTACCTTAGCATGTTTAACAAACTACAGTTCCCAGAATTCCTTTGGGAGAAGTCCTGTGCTTTAAATGCATGGTGTGTATTTAGTGTTGAGTTCTACGTTCTACTCTATGGACCCCCTGAAATGAACAAGCCTTGGTTAGTCAGGCCTGTTAACATCAACGGGTCTACTCTGAGTAGGAGGAGTAGCAAGGGTTGCAACCCAAGGAAGACAATTTTGAATCAGAGATGGAAAGAAGATAAAAGTCCCGACCAGAGAAGAATGGCAGATTAAGTTGTTGGATTATGGCGAAACAGCAAAAATGACCGGAAGAATCAGAAATCAGGAAGACTAAAATGTCAATAAGGAATGGGGAAATTTTTAAAATTTATCTTAAAAACCATTGTAAACGGCTAAAATTGTTAGTAGGATTAGAATAACACTTGCAGTTTAATGGTGAATTTTGGATATAATGGAGATATCAAAGATGTGAATTAACATAAAAGATGCAGGAAGAGATGACTAACAATAGGACCCACAAAGGAGAGGGGAGAATTCCAGAAGAGTCCTTAGAATCTTTGTTTTTATGTCATATGTTGGATATGTGTAAAACTGTAATTTGAAAAACTGTATATGTATATCTCTCACAATTTGGAATCAGAAGGCTAAGATGGGGTATCAGGTGTCAAAGGTCAGGGTAAAGGAACACACTTTTAATGTCATAATATATCTTCAAAACATGATGAAAGCCGTACAAGGAAGGTGCAAGACTTCTGAGGGGAATCAAATCTGTATTTGCTAAAATATCCCTTGTGGATAGGCCTTGGCTGCCACCTAGTGGTCATTGTATGTAAGCTCAGCTTTTGCTCACTGATTTAACTCTCTTGCAGGAAAAAAAGACAACGCAGAGTCTTATGACACAATGAAGACTGACAAATTTATTGTTTTTTAGACAGAAATCGGGACACAGATTAATTAGACGCATGGCACTGCTTGATCCTAACTGTTTGGGTCTAACCCTAGCCTGGGACAGCTTGGTCTGTAGAGCATGAGACTTTATCTTGGGGTCCTGGGTTCGAGTCCCATGTTGGGTGGAAGATTCCTGCATTACAAGACACTGGACTAAATGGACCTGATCTTCTAATGTTCTTATATACTGTCCATAAATATCCACATCAACAGTGACTTAGGAATCTGCCTAGTGCTAACCGCAAGCGAAAATGAATGCTGGACACTAAAGCATAGCAGTTTGAGAAATGCGTCTTCAGATTTTGGGTGCCATAGGAAAATCTGTTTTCCCAGTGTGTTATGTACTGAGCTGAATAGGATCCAAAATGCAGCAGTCTGATTAGTCCTAGAACAGTAGGATTCAGAATGCAGCAGTCTGATTGGTCCTAGAACAATAGGATCCAGAATGCAGCAGTCTGATTGGTCCACAGGAGCCACCCAATCCAGCTCCAGGTGATTCTGCAACCTGATTGGTCTACAGGAGAATCCCGGAATTAGCCAATCACGTGGGCCCCATTGTGTAAATAATGTATATAAAGCAGACATTCTGGGGGACCTTCCATTCATCCTCACCAGCATGAGCTGAATAAAGAGCATGAAATCCACTCTCGACTCCGTGTACAGTGGTACCTCGGGTTACATACACTCCAGGTTACATATGCTTCAGGTTACAGACTCTGCTAACCCAGAAATATTACCTCAGGTTAAGAACTTTGCTTCAGGATGAGAACAGATCTCGTGCTCCGGCGGCGCGGCAGCAGCAGGAGGCCCCATTAGCTAAAGTGGTGCTTCAGGTTAAGAACAGTTTCAGGTTAAGTACGGACCTCCGGAATGAATTAAGTACTTAACCTGAGGTACCACTGTATATTTCACTGTGCACCCTCCCTTTCACAAAATCCTGGGGAGAGGGCCTTCTTGGGCATCATGGGATACTCTTTTTCCCCAGTGCACCCTTCCACTCAAACTCCATCTCCAAACCCCCAAAATAAATAAAAATATAATAAATATATTTTAAAAAACCCAGGCAAGAGCTCCATATTGGGTGCAATGGGAAAGCTGATTTTCCCAGGGCACCCACCCCTTCACACAGCACCCACAAACCCTGGCAGCAGCTCTGTCTTTTGCAGTGGCAACCTCTCGCAGTCTGGGCGGTGACGCGGGTGGTTCAGCAAGTCTGGGCCTCTCTCCTCCTCTCTTGAATTCGGGGGTCCAGAAAGGTGGAGGCGACTTGCCCCCGGGCTCTCTTGGAAAGCAGAACAGGTGCGCCCTTGGCTTCCGTCGCCGATGGTCATGTCAAGCGGCTTTGTCCCGTGGTGGCCAAGGGAGCCCCTCTGATCATGGGGTGATGCTGTGATTCTCTCGTCCGCCAGGGTCTCGGCTGTACCTGTGCTTGACTGTTGAGAGAGGAAAACAGCTCAAAAGCGGAATGTAGGGCAACACAGCTAGATTGGTGACTGGGAGCGCCCGCCGAGACCATATAACACCGGTCCTGAAAGACCTACATTGGCTCCCAGTACGTTTCCGAGCACAATTCAAAGTGTTGGTGCTGACTTTTAAAGCCCTAAATGGCCTCGGTCCAGTATACCTGAAGGAGCGTCTCCACCCCCATCATCCAGCCCGGACACTGAGGTCCAGCGCTGAGGGCTTTCTGGAGGTTCCCTCCCTGCGAGAAGTGAAGTTACAGGGAACCAGACAGAGGGCCTTCTCAACAGTGGCACCCGCCCTGTGGAACGCCCTCCCACCACATGTCAAGGAACATGTGGTATCTCGGGTTACAGACGCTTTAGGTTACAGACTCCGTTAACCCAGAAATAGTACCTCGGGTTAAGAACTTTGCTTCAGGATGAGAACAGAAATTGCGCAGTGGCGGCGCGGCAGCAGTGGGAGGCCCCATTAGCGAAAGTGGTACCTCAGGTTAAGAACAGTTTCAGGTTAAGAACGGACCTCCAGAATGAATTAAGTACTTAACCTGAGGTACCACTGTATCTGACTTTTAGAAGACATCTGAAGGCAGCCCTGTTTAGGGAAGCTTTTAATATTTGATGAATTACTGTATTTTAATATTTTGCTGGAAGCCGCCCAGAGTGGCTGGGGAAACCCAGACAGATGGGCGGGGTATAAATTATTATTATTATTATTATTATTATTATTATTTTCAAAAAGCTTATCTCCCTCTCTGCAGGTAAGCAGTGACATTGGGAAATCTGTACTAGAGGAATTCAGTTCCTTCCCTGCCCCCCTTCATTTTTACAATGCCATATAAATGGATCAGGGCAATGGCCCATCTAGGCCAACATCTTCTTCTTGCCCTGATGGGGGAATCCTACACGCAGGATTTGAGCACTAGAGTACCCTCTCCTCCTGTGTCTTCCAGTAACTGAGGTACAGAAGTGTTTCTCCCTGCGACTGGCAGAACACAGACATCATGGCTTGCTGCCTCCTCCATAAATTTGCCCAGTCCTCTTTTAAAGCCATCTGAGTTGGTGGCTGCCTGTGGCAGAGAGTTCCACAGGCTAACTCTGAAGGGCTTTCTTTTATCGGCCTTGAATCTTCCAACGCTCAACTCCATTGGATGTCTGTGAGTTCTAACGTTATGAGAGAGAACAGGGAAAACACCTTCCTCTACCTACTTTCTCCACCTCATGCTTAATTTTGCAAACTTCTATCATGTCGCCTCTTGAATGCCTTTTCTCTTGTAACAAAATCCCAAATGCTGTAGCTCAGTGGAGGAGCAATTGCTTTGCATGCAGGTGGTTCTGGGTTCGATTCCCGACATCTCCAGGTAGACCTGGCAGAGGCTCCCTCAAAATCCTGGAGAGTTTCTGCAGGTCCACTGTGGCGAGCTGGCAAGCATGTCTACTGTTGCCACAGCCATTATTATGGGGATTAAGGTAAAGGGACCCCTGACCATTAGGTCCAGTTGTGGCCTATTCTGGGGTTGCGGAGCTCATCTCGCTTTATTGGCCGAGGGAGCCAGCGTACAGCTTCTGGGTCATGTGGCCAGCATGACTAAGCCGCTTCTGAGAAACCAGAGCAGCGCACGGAAACGCCGTTTACCTTCCCACCAGAGAGGTACCTATTTATCTACTTGCACTTTGATGTGCTTTCGAACTGCTTGGTTGGCAGGAGCAGGGACCGAGCAACGGGGGCTCACCCCGTCGTGGGGATTCGAACCGCCGACCTTCTGATCGGCAAGTCCTAGGCTCTGTGGTTTAACCCACAGCGCCACCTGCGTCCATTATGGGGATTAAGCCAGCTCTAAATCAATGGCTGAAATTATGTCAGCCCACTATTTCAGAGCGATCAACCCCATACTTTCTGGATGGAAGCGAGGCTGAGTTCCATCTTCTTCTTCTGCGATAACACTGGATTCCAATGGCACACGAGGCTATCGTTCTGGATGCTGTAATTCTTATTCCCAAGCAGCCAGTAAGTCTTCATTTTCCCTTTTCCCTGCCCAGGATGAGAGAGAAAAGGGGAGATTTTTAAACCCTCAGCCTAGCCAAGGTGATGTAACCATGTGTGTGTCTGGGTGGGGGTATTTGGGAATTCTCAGAAGCCAAAGAAATCGGCACAGCCATGAAATCTGGGGTTCAAAATCAGCGCAGCTTCAAACGGTTCGGTCCACCATCTTGATTCAAAATGGCACCCGGTTGCATCCAGACACAGGCGAAAACCAGCTCCTTGATCTGAGGAACCATAAACCTAAATTTGGTCAAAACCTGTGCAGTTTTGAAAGGGTCCGCCTGCCATCTTGATTCAAAATGGCTCCCAACTGTTTCCAAACATAGATGAAAACCTGCTCCTTGGTTTTGTGCAACATTTGGCCAGGATATCTCAAGAGGTGTGCAAACACACAGCGAATGGAAAAACAACTTTCCAAAACATATAGTCGATTATTAGGTATTTGGTGTATTTGGTAAATGTAATCAATTTTTAAAAAAATAATAATAACAGAAAGTTATTTTCATCCTGTTTTTCTTTATATATAAATCCAGAATGGATTGTAGCCAGTGCTGGTTGTACTCAGAGTAGACCCACTGAAGTTAATGGATGTGAGTGACTCCATTAATTTCAACAGGTTTGCTCTGTGTTGAACTTAGTCAGAAGCAACCCAGAGTGTGATATCTGGCTCAAACTGGTGCACCCTAGAAATCTCACTTCATTTTTTGAAAACACAAAATAAAGTTACTAGTCCTCAAGACTAACTTAGGTCCACTAATTTCAAATTAATACAACTTAGTTGGATACAACGTATAGTTAGTCCTGCTCAGAGCAGACCCATTAATCTCAAGGGATCTCCTCTGATTAAAACATAGTTGAACACAACCCCACTGTAAGCTCCTTGGGGCAGAGAACTCGCCTTCCTTTCTGCTTTCTCCTGCAAATGCCCCAGGCTGTGCTAAATGAGCGGAGATAATAGTAGCAGTCACCTTCACTTCAATCTCCCCTCTCAGCTCAATGTCATAGGCATCGTCCTTCAGCAGCGCAAGGTATGTGGCGGAACTGATGTGGATCTTCTGAGCTGGGAAATGAGTTATCAGAAGACACATAGTTAAACGCGGAGCTGTCCTTGCGCCACCTCCTGGTCAAAAGGGGAAACTGTAGGTCAAACCCCCACAACCCATAATCCTCCTGGTTTGTTTGTTTGTTTATTGATTGATTGATTGATTGATTGATTTACTACAGTGGTACCTTGGTTCTCAAACTTAATCCATTCATGAAGTCCGTTCCAAAACCAAAGTGTTTCAAAACCAAGGTGCGCTTTCCCATAGAAAGTAAAGCAAAATGGATTCATCCGTTCCAGACTTTTAAAAACAACCCCCGAAACAGCCATTTAACATGAAATTCAAAATTGTAAAAAAGAAAACTTAATAAAAAATTATACACACACATATATATGATGTCAAGAAATAACTATGAAACCTTTAGAAGACATCTGAAGGCAGCCCTGTATAGGGAAGTTTTTAATGTTTAATTACGTTTTTGTATATGCTGGATTATTTATGTATGCGACCATGGCTACGGCGATGTTATTGGCTCAGAGATGGAAAGAAGATAAAGTCCCGACCAGAGAAGAATGGCAGATCAAGTTGATTGATTATGCCGAAATGGCTAAAATGACTGGATGAATCAGAAATCAGGAAGACCAAAATATATGAAAATAACAACAAGAGATGTGGAAAAATAATAAGAAAGGACTGGATAATACTGTGAACATCATAAGGTTAGATTTGTGGACATTAAAACAGCAGTAAGAAGCAAGAAGTTGATTGGATCCCTTCGGAACTTGAAATATGGGTACCCCCAACAAAAATTTAAAATTCGGCTGTGTAATTTGGAATTTATGTAATTTGGTTTGATTTGATGTGATTGGTCGGTTAATAAAAAATTATTCTTAAACAGAAATCAGGAAGACCAAATTTTTAATAAGGAATGGGGGAAATTTATAACCTCCCAGCATCCTTAACAAACTACAGTTCCTAGAATTTCTTTGAGAGAAGTTGTGTGCTTTAAATGCATGGTGTGTAGTCAGTTTGAGCGTTCTACTCTATGGGCCCACTGAAATTAATAAGGCTTGGTTAGTCATGCCTGTTAACATCAATGGGTCTACTCTGTGTAGGAGGAGTAGCAAGGGCTGCAACCCAAGTACAGTGGTACCTCGGGTTACAGACTCTTCAGGTTACAGATGCTTCAGGTTACAGATGCTGCTAACCCAGAAATAGTACCTCGGGTTAAGAACTTTGCTTCAGGATGAGAACGGAAATTGCGCAGCGGCGGCCCGGCGGCCCCCATTAGCTAAAGTGGTGCTTCAGGTTAAGAACAGTTTCAGGTTAAGAACGGATCTCCAAAACGAATTAAGTTCTTAACCTGAGGTAGGTACCACTGTAAAACAATTTGGAATCACAGTTAGAAAGAAGATAAAGTCTCGACCAGGGAAGAATGGCAGATTAAATAGATGAATTATTCCAAAACGGCAAAAATGACCAGAAGAATCAGAAATCAGGAAGACTAAAATTTCAAAAAGGAACGGGGGGAATTGATAATTTATCCTAAAAACCATTGTAAACAGTGAAAATCCTGAGTAGGATTGGAATATCACTTGTAGTTTAAGGGTGAATTTTGGACATAATGGAGAGGTAAAAGACTTGGATTATTATAAAAGATTCAGGAGGAAATGAATAACAATAGGACCCACAGAGGGAATAAGGGAACTCCAGTAGGTTCTTTGGCATCTTGTTTCTATGTTGTATGTTCAATATGTGACTGTAAAGTTTTAATCTAAAAAACCAAATAAAGAAATTAAAAACAAGCAAACAGAATCAAGCAAACTGGCTGCGATGGCAAGCTCTCTGGGATCTTGTGGGGCGGAGGGATGTGGCGGGGGTCACAGCCACTCACGCAAACTGGTGGACTCCATACGAGAGGCTGTGTTCACCGTGTCGCCAAAGAGGCAATAACGAGGCATTTTATGTCCGACGACGCCAGCCACACACGGACCTAGGTGAGAGAAACAGGGAGAGGGAGAGGAGGGTAAATGTCAGGGCAGACAGAGATGATTTTTTGTTCAATAACATAAGAACCACCCGCTGGATCAGGCCAGATCCACTCCAGTATCCTTTTCTTACAGTAGCCAACGACAGTGGTACCTTTTTTCTCAAACTTAATCCGTTCCGGAAGTCCGTTCCAAAACCAAGACGCTCTTTCCCATAGAAAGCAACGCAAAATGGATTAATCCGCCCCAGACTTTTAAAAACAACCCCCAAAACAGGCATTTACAGTGGTACCTCGGGTTAAGAACTTAATTTGTTCTGGAGGTCCGTTCTTAACCTGAAACTATTCTTAACCTGAAGCACCAACTGTTCTTAACCTAAAGCTAATGGGGCCTCCCATTGCCGCCACGCCGCCGCCACACAATTTCTGTTCTCATCCTGAAGCAAAGTTCTTAACCCGAGGTACTATTTCTGGGTTAGCGGAGTCTGTAACCTGAAGCATCTGTAACCCGAGGTACCACTGTGCCATGAAATTTACTATCTAACAAGACCATTGATCCATAAAATGAAAGCAATAAACAATGTACTGCAGTCACACAATCAATCAATCCATCAGTTGCTGAACTGGGTTCCACATAGTCACAAAAACAAAATGGAAAAAACCCCGCAAAAACAAAAACGAAAAATAAATAGCAAAAACAAACAGACCTCATCTTAACACTCAAAACAGAAGTATGGCACTCAAAATGGAGCATATTCAGCTTCCAAAAAAGTTAGCAAACCAGAACACTTACTTCCCGGTTTGCAGTGTTTGGGTTCTAAGTTGTTTGAGTACTAAGGCATTTGAGGACCAAGGTACTGTGAGATTTTGACCAGCTTCGGCCCATCTGAAGCTGATACAGGCTCGTCTTATCTTGAGCCCAAGCAGAGTAGTCCACACAGCAGAAGGATAAGCAGTATGTGCCACATTCTTAACTTTATTTCCACTCTATGCTGAGAGAATACAAACATGCATCTTGCCTCTGTGAGAGCAGAGAAGCAACTCCTCTCGGAAACAAAGAACACCGAGAGAAACAGTGAAAAACAGGAAACCAGTGTACGTCACATCCAGTCTCCCATTCCCGTGGGAATCCAACAGTAACTCTGACTGTGGAATGCAAAACAATGTCTTGTGACTGCAGTTGCTGCTCAGTGAGGGAAATAGAAACCAACAGGTACCACTGTAGATGGGAAACCAGAGCACAAGAGCTCTCTTTTGCCAGTGTGGTGCGGTGGTTAAGAGCGATAGACTGGTAATCTGGTGAACCGGGTTCGTGTCTCCGCTCCTCCACATGCAGCTGCTGGGTGACCTTGGGCCAGTCACACTTCTTTGAAGTCTCTCAGCCCCACTCACCTCACAGAGTGTTTGTTGTGGAGGAGGAAGGGAAAGGAGACTGTTAGCCGCTTTGAGATTCCTTCGGGTAGTAATAAAGCGGGATATCAAATCCAAACTCCTCCTCCTCCTCCTCTTCTGTGGAGGCAGAGCATAGCCACTGTGGCAACTAGCCATCAATAGTACTCCTCCTCCTCCACGAATTTGTCTACTCCTCTCTTAAACCAGCCACGTTGGTGGCCATCCCTGTGGCAGGGAGTTCCATAGTTTAACTTTGTGCTGCGAGGACTGAAATTCAGGAGATTTCTGTCCTGAATCTCCCAGCATTCAGCCTCATTGGATGTCCTCAGATTCCAGAGGGAGAAAAGAATTGCTCCCTGCCGTGCTAAACTTCTACATGTCACCTCTTGCTTTTTCTCTCAACGGAAAAGTCCCAAACGATGCAAACTTTCGCCATAGGGGGAGTCACTCCATCCCCTTTATCATTGCAGTCACTGATTTATTTAAAAAATGTGCACTGCTTGATTGTAGAACGACAACAACAACCCAACACCCACAAACCAGTTTACAAAAAGAATAAAAATGAAACTATCGGGGGTTTTTTTTAAAAAAAAACCAGTTAAATGCCTTTAAAAATGATTAAAATTGACAGAAAGGTGAATACCAGGTCAAAGAGTTGGACAGCGCTGCCCCCATGTGGCTGCCTCTTCTCCATCTCTGCCAACCTATCTCACCTGTGTGAATCCCGGCCCGTAGCTGCAGTTTGCCGCTGGGCATGTGGGGTATCACGACTTGCCGGACGGCGGCCACCAAGTCCAGAGCCATCTTGGCGATCTCATCTGCATGCTTTGTGCCGTTCCTCTCTGGCAAGCCGCTCACGACCATGTAGGCGTCCCCGATGGTCTCCACCTGGTGGGGAAGAGGGACCCAAAAATTGTGGAATCGGAAGAGACCTTGAGGGTCATTTAGTCAAGATCTGAGCGAAAATATAAAACATGCTTTCGGTGGCTTGGTCACCAGGCAAATTACTACTACTACTACTACTGTAAATTTATTTCTGCCTGCCTTTTACCCTAAGGGTAATCAAGACACAGTATTAAAAGCAGTTTGAAATGGTAAAGGTAAAGGGACCCCTGACCATTAGGTCCAGTCGTGGCCGACTCTGGGGTTGTGGCGCTCATCTCGCTTTATTGGCTGAGGGAGCTGGCGTACAGCTTCCGGGTCATGTGGCCAGCAGGACTAAGCCGCTTCTGGCGAACCAGAGCAGTGCACGGAAACACCGTTTACCTTCCCATCGGAGTGGTCCCTATTCACCTACTTGCACTTTGACGTGCTTTCGAACTGCTAGGCTGGCAGGAGCAGGGACCGAGCAACGGGAGCTCACCCCGTCATGGGGATTCGAACCACCGACCTTCCAATCGGCAAGCCCTAGGCTCTGTGATTTAACTCACAGTGCCACCCGCATCCCTTTGAAATGACTTACAATCTCAAAAATAGGCATCCCAAGTGTCAAAAGAGGTGCATCTCCAGCAAATCTTTATATATATATATATATATATATATATATATATATATATATATGTGTGTGTATGTACACACACACACACACACACACACACACACACACACACACATGGTTGTCAGATTAAAGTTTTACAATCACATATCCAACATACAACATAAATACAAGATTCCAAAGAACCTCCTGAACTTCCCTCTTCTCCTTTGTGGGTCCTATTGTTAATCATTTCCTCCTGCATCTTTTCCTATAATCCAAACCTTTTGGATTATGTCCAAAATTCACCATTAAACTATAAGCGTTATTCCAATCCTACTAAATGTTTTTGCTGTTTACAATGGTTCTGAAGATAAATTATAACTTTCCCCCATTCCTTATTAAAATTTTGATCTTCTTGATTTCTGATTCTTCCGGTCATTTTAGCCATTTCAGCATAATCCATCAAGTTGATCCATCAAGTTGATCTCCAGAAAACCTTATGTTGGTTGTTATTATTATTCACAACGGCCCTGCCCAGTAGGCCCCTGGCCACACTGTCCTTTTTGGGTTGCCCTCTTCTTTTCCTGCCTGAGAAGTCTTCCCTGACCACCCCGATGCTTTAACAAAGCCGGAAGCCACTGACCTTGTAAACATCGTAGGATTCGATCCGGGTATCAAAGCAGACGTAGAGGTTGTTGAGCATCTCAACCACCTGTAATGGGGTGCAGGAGGCGGCGATGCTGGTGAAGCCCACGACATCCGAGAAGAAGATGGTTACCTGTTGTGGGGAGACGGATTGGGCTGTATTATCATACCACATCATCATAAGGAGAAAATCCAAAACTATGGTTATGAAGCAATGGGAGTTCTTAAATGATTCTTTACAAAACCAGGGCTCGACTATAAAAATCTGGTTGTGTTTAGAATAATCTTGTGCGTAATCTAAAAAATACAAATTATTTGTGGGATTGAGTGTAAGTATGTTTGAACACTTTTAAGGTTTGTATGAAATGTATGTTTGTATGCTTGTATATTTGTAATATATGTGTATTAATGATGAACTATTTTAACAATAATTTTTTTTTAAAAAAAATACAAAGTGAAACATTAAGGAAATCCAAAGGGAAGATATGAAGAACAGAGGATCTGACGAACAGATTATTAAAAACACATGAGGCAAACGGTGGAAGTCCTTTTTTTTAAAAAAAACCAAAAAACACTTTTTAAGGTAGATAAGGACAAGATGAAATTATACAGTTGAATATAAATATAGATGGGAAACGGCTATGTATAGTGAATACAGTGGTGCCTCGCAAGACGAAATTAATTCATTCTGCGAGTTTTTTCGTCTTGCGAATTTTTCGTCTTGCGAATTTTTCGTCTTGCGAAGCACGGTTTCCCAAAGTCTTCAAAATCACCAAAGTCTTCAAAAACCTCAAAAAAGGCTACCACACCACGTGCTATGAGTTGCTCCTCGAAGTCACCCTGGGTATTAATGGTTTTAAGAAAAAGGAAACAAACTTGCAAGACGTTTTCGTTTTTTTCGTTTTTCGTCTTGCGAAGCAAGCCCATAGGGAAATTCGTCTTGCGAAGCAACTCAAAAAACGAAAAACTCTTTCGTCTTGCGAGTTTTTCGTCTTGCGAGGTACCACTGTACTTATCTACTTTAAAAACATTTCACCTATGATCCTTTTCTTTTACTTCTTTATTTTTTCTTTGTTCTTTTTTCCTTTTTTCTGATATCTTATCTTTCATTTCACTCCTTTATTGTGAATAGCATTTTATAGAGGTATAGAGCATTGTGGGAAATAAAAATGGCTGCTCCCAGATGTTGTGGCGGCTCTTAGCAGGCTGCTCTTCTTCCGGGCCAAACCATCACGGGACAAGTGTTTAAGCAGCTATCACATCTATACGATAGATAGCCGTGTGCTTACGTGTTCATTACATTTTTGTCCCACCTTTTTCTCCACGGGAGCTCCAGGTGGCTCACTCATTTAACCCCCACAACAACCCTGTGAGGTGGGTCAGGCTGAGAGGCAATGGCTGGCCCAGTGAGCTTCACAGCCTAGTCGAGATTCGAACCCAGCTCTCCCAGGTCCCAGTCCAGCACTCTAACCACTACACTACTCCAGGTTTGGGAAAACAGCTCCACAGCAGGGTTTGAGGAAAGATGTCTTTCCCGTGATTATGAAGTGATGCTTAAAGCCCTCTTTGATATTCTGTCCTAAAGGCTGCCCGGATCCTCGCTTAATTCTTCGTTTCCCCCCTCTGAATTCCCTATAGCTGCCGCAATTATCTCCAGATGTCTTTCTGCAATTCTCTCCTCCAAGGCTTCGTCTTTGATGCTGAGGGTTCTGATCCGGCTGTTCGTAATTGCTCAATTACGGGATTGTTTAGGAAATTACACCTCTCGTTGAAATGCAAATGTAATTCTTTTTCGGGGTGGGGCGGTGTCAAGAGGGTCCCCCCGCATGACGATCGCCAAGCACCCAGAGACGAGAGAGGAGATGGCGAAAATGAGGTCATTTATTTCCCTGCGAGGTACCATTTCCTGGCAAACCTTTGGGAAGCAGAAGGCGTTTCAAAATGGTCGCCGACATGTGACCACTCAAGAGGTGAGAGGGAACTATGAGGAGCAATTCATAGAATCGCAGAGTTCAACTAGTTCAACACCCTGCAACGTCACTGGACCCCACTTACTCTCCTTCCGATTCTTATCACTAAGGCATAAAGACAACAGCCAATAAAATCTTTTGTTATTGAGAATTTTGGACTGTCTCGCCAGAATGGTGCATGCTCTAGTTATCTCCCGCTGGGACTACTGCAATGTGCTCTACGTGGGGCTACCTTTGAAAGTGACCTGAAAACTACAACTAATCCAGAATGCGGCAGCTAGACTGGTGACTGGGGGCGGCCGCCGAGACCACATAACACCGGTCCTGAAAGACCTACATTGGCTCCCAGTACGTTTCCGAGCACAATTCAAAGTGTTGGTGTTGACCTTTAAAGCCCTAAATGGCCTCGGTCCAGTATATCTGAAGGAGCGTCTCCACCCCATCGTTCTGCCCAGACACTGAGGTCCAGCGCTGAGGGCCTTCTGGGGTTCCCTCGCTGCAAGAAGCCAAGCTACAGGGAACCAGGCAGAGGGGCTTCTCGGTAGTGGCACCCGCCCTGTGGGACACCCTCCCACCAGATGTCAAAGAGAAAAACAACTATCTGACTTTTAGAAGACATCTGAAGGCAGCCCTGTTTAGGGAAACTTTTAATGTTTAACAGACTATTGTATTTTAATATTTTATTGGAAACTGCCCAGAGTGGCTGGGGAAACCCAGCCAGATGGGCGGGGTATAAATAATAATTTTTTATTATTATATCATTATGATTATCTGAACGAAAAACTATTCATTTGGTATTTGGGGAAGGGGGTCTGTTGGGAAGCTGAAAGCCTCTCGGCGTGTTATCTCTTTTCATTTATTCGATTTATTTGCAAAAAATTCCTACCCTGGCGACATATACCACCACTCTCCTCTGGGCCACGCTTTCAGAATAAAAATCTGCTCACGCTCAGAAATACATTGGAAAACACAACTAGGGTTGTCCTCAGTATCACTTGATGTTCTTGCTCTCATTTTGAAAAGGTAAGGTAAAGGTAAAGGGACCCCTGACCATTAGGTCCAGTCGTGGCCGACTCTGGGGTTGTGGCGCTCATCTGGCTTTACTGGCTGAGGGAACCGGTGTACAGCTTCCGGGTCATGTGGCCAGCATGACTAAGCCGCTTCTGGCAAACCAGAGCAGCGCACGGAAACGCCGTTTACCTTCCCGCAGGAGCGGTACCTATTTATCTACTTGCACTTTGATGTGCTTTCGAACTGCTAGGTTGGCAGGAGCAGGGACCGAGCAACGGGAGCTCACCCTGTTGTGGGGATTCGAACCACCAACTTTCTGATTGGCAAGTCCTGGGCTCTGTGGTTTAACCCACAGCGCCACCCGCGTCCCTTTTTGAAAAGGTATCTATCCATTAAAAAATATTTTGATACTACACTGCGCTACACTACACTGAAATCTTGAAATGTTTCTTTGGTTGTCCTCGAATCTGCCTGCCATGCTTGCCATCCTCTTGTGCTACATTGCTAGGACCTCGGAGAGACCAGCGTTCGAATCCCCCCACTTGGAGCTCGCTGGATGGCCTCTGGGCCAGTCATTGCCTCTTGGCCTAACCTACCTCACAGGGTTGTTTGGAGGATTGACTGAGGAGGGAGATCACTGGGTACAATGCCTTGAGTTCCCTGGAGAAAAAAGTGGGATTTAAAGGTTAATAATAATAATAATAATAATAATTTTTAACATGTAACATGGTGGCGAACATTTGGAGGCTGAAAGATGCTGTTTCTGGCAACCCTGAACTCACTGGCAGAGAAAATGTGGCTGGTTTTTCACTGTTTTCTAGGATGTTTTCGATGGAGGTGGTTTGCTGCACTGGGACCCTTTGGGAGGAAAGGTGGGATACAAATTTTATTATTTATTTCTTCTCTGCACTGACTGCCCTTGAGCGACATCCCTGAATCGAAGAGACCAGGCTAGCGGTGTGCAAGTCACCTGTTTTTACCTGGTCGTAATTTTCCGCCTCCACATGCTTGCGTTTCCTCAGCTGCTTGGCAACGGATTTGGGCAACATCTGGTGCAGGAGGTCCTCAGCCAAGCTCCGCTCACGCTTCAAATCCTCTGTCCGTTCCTTGAGGCTCCTGGCGTAATTCCGGATCCAATCTGTCATCTCCTTGAACGACACCAGGACGATGGGGTAGATGAGGCTGGCGACCGCCAGCAGGCAGATTTTGAGGCTCACCAGGGAGAGCATATCTCTGGATTTCTTGCTGAGACTCTGCCGGCTCTTCTCCCACAAGCAGGCCTGCAAGGAATCCAAGTCCTTCACCAAATGCTCGTCCGGTGGCAATGGAGAGGGTGGTGGGGAGAAAACCGGGATGCCCCCATATTGGGTGGAAGAAATGGAGAGGTTTGGGTTCTCCGCCCAACACCCTCGAACGCTTTCAGATGCGATGACGGCATAGGTCAGAACGGCAGACATTTGGTACCACAGGCCTTGGGCGTCCACAGAAGATGATGGAGGCATCTCTTGGGACTTCAGGAAGCCTCCTTTGGTTCTGAGGATGGCTCTGAGGGACACCACGTCAACCCAATCTGGGTTCGACTTTATCGCTTCAAGGTCTTTCTCAGGACTCCCAAACACCTCGAGGATTTCGGAAACAATCGTGGACCACGCGAGACCCATCACCACCGCTTGGGTGCCGTTCAGCTTCTCCCTGATCTCACTGGCGAAAGTTTGGCACCCAAAGTCTTCCTTGCATGGCACCTGCATCACATGGTCCTTCCCTCCGGATCCCTCGCAGGAAACTGCAAATTTCCCCAACGCGCGATCCAGGAAGAACGTGTTCAGTGCTTTGCCCTCGCCATCTTCCCGGCTACGAATCTCATCTCTGAAGAGGCTGGCGAGATGGAGGACCCAGACAGTCTGGCAGGAGGGGATGCTGGTGAGGGCCGCCTTGACGTTCCTCCACGATTCCAGAGTTTTGCTTAAATCCAGAGAGATGCTCCCCATCAGGGTGGCCACGGAGACCAGGCAGGCGACCAGGATTCGCCTCACTGTCTTGCTGGTGCTACAGGGACAGAAGCTGAGGAAAGTAAAGGAGAAACTGGTTAATTTTGTCCCCTTCACAAGTGGAAAGGTATGCATATTCATAGAATTGTAGAGTTAGAAAGGGACGGAAGGATAATCTAATCTAGTGACTAGTCCAACCCCCCTGCACTGCAGGAATCACAGCTGAGTCAATATCAATCTCAGTTTTTCTCCCTTTCTCGTTTTTCCATTCATAAGTTCATTTCTCCACATTTTCACGTCACATCAGGTTTTCCCAGCTGGATAAACGGGACATAAAGTATTTCATGGGTAGGCAAACTAAGGCCCCGGGGGCCGGATCAGGCCCAATTCCCTTCTAAATCTGGCCCACGGATGGACCGGGAACCAGCGTGTTTTTACATGAGTAGAATGCGCCCTTTTATTTAAAATGCATCTCTGGGTTATTTATGGGGCTTAGGAATTTGTTTATTCCCCCCCACCCCAAAAAATATAGTCCGGCCCCCCACAAGGTCTGAGGAACAGCTGACCTGCCCCCTGCTAAAAAAGTTTGCTGACCCCTGAAGTACAGTGGTACCTCGGGTTAAGTACTTAATTCGTTCTGGAGGTCTGTTCTTAACCTGAAACTGTTCTTAACCTGAAGCACCCCTTTAGCTAACGGGGCCTCCCGCTGCCAGCGCGCCGCCAGAACACAATTTCTGTTCTCATCCTGAAGCAAAGTTCTTAACCCGAGGTACTATTTCCGGGTTAGCGGAGTCTGTAACCTGAAGCGTCTGTAACCTGAAGTGTATGTAATCCGAGGTACCATTGTAATTAAAAACAGTTTAAAGCAAAAAGACAACAAATAAATTTAAAGCAAGGCGAAAACCCTAACAACTGGTGGCAGTTTTAGTCTTGCTTTAGGTGTTTTTGTTGTCTCAAGTGTTATTAACAGTTTTAAATTACCTTATGTGTAAATTGTCTTGAGAAGACGGTTAATAAATCAACGGTGTGTGGGGGTGTGTGGGGTATTTTTTAAAAAAAGACCTGATGAAAAATCAACAGCTTATTTGATGGGTTATTTTTGGATGATGACTTATTCTTAATGTCAGTAGGAATTGGCGTTGTTTGTTTTTTCCTCTTCCTTCTCCCTTTCCCCCCTCTGCTATATTTGTAATAAAACACACACATAAGAGCACCTCTGTGCAAATAAATAAAAAGAGGGAAGATAGAACCCCACTTTTTTCCCAGAGCAACTATAGTGAAAATGATGCAACTGGACAACAGAGCATTTGATGGTGAGTTAATAGGAGAAAAATTTATTCCGAAAGATTGCTTCATGAATTTGCTGCGGAGCTTAGGATTTTTTTGATGAACCCATAGGGCAAGATGGAGCTGTGGCGATGATCTAGAAATGTGATGCTTTAACATCCTCCTCTGCAATAATAAGTATCAGCATAAAATTTATTGGTTTCCTACTAAGCCTTCCTGGTTGAAACGAGTCTAGCAAACTAGAAAAGTCTAGCAAACACTTATCTCACACAAATCGGTTTAGATATCAGCTGTTTTATTGATGCAAATTGGGGGGGGTATCCAAAATGGATCGCAAGACATTTTAGACAAAAATGTGAACATTTGAGGGAACAAATGGTTTGCATTTGTGAATAATTCCATTCTTTTCCTAGCTCTGCCTCTGAGCTATTCAATTTTCTGTTTCTGACAATACAAGTTTTTACGTTTCAAGTTAACCATGCAATTTTTAAAACAAAAACACCTAGCAATCTCAATGTTTTTAAAAAACAGTTTCTAGGTCACTAGCCCTTTCATTTTCTCCCACTGCACCTTTTATATTTAAATCTACGATTCAGTAAAATAATTATACATTGTGGACAGCACAGAACAAATTTGTGTAAATGAAAAACTTAATTGTACTCAATTTCTTTTCTCTGTCCATCTTTGATAATTCTTATCCCCAATCAGTTTGCTTGGCTTGAATTATCCAGCTTTTCACTCAAGAGATGAAATTTAATTTTCTCAATGGGTTTAACAGTTTGGGGGGTTGTGCAGAGGGAATCAGCTGAATAAGGTTTGCATTCTGGTGGTAAATTTCGGTTCCTTGGTTAGATTATGGTTCATCTGAATAATATTTTTTAAAGCTTTTTATATTCAGAATCTGGTCCATCAATTTGACCAAATCTCAGTCTGTTTCCTTAGCCAGTTTCAAAGTTGTTTGATTCCTGTTTTATGCTGTTTAGATCAATTTCTGTTACCTTGTTTTTCCTGTATATGAAAAGTCATATTAAATACACAAACACACACAACCATTCTTTTCTGATAGCTTCCGGCTTCCTAGGTCTCCTGGATCTCTCCCCTCCCTGAAACTTCCCACTTTCCCCCCCTTTCCAGTAAAAATTCAGCACAACTTTTCTCCTGGTTTTTGTCTCTTTTACAGCACCTACCTGCAGGTTGCACAGCTGTTCCACAAGTTCTCTTGCCCCCAAACTTGCTCTTCCTCTTGCCTGAGGTTGGGTTTCCCCTTGAGTGAAGTCGAGGAGGTAAAAAACCGTTGGCTGCCCACTCCAGACATGGAACCCGTCCCAGACTTGGGGACTGGTAAACAGAGATTATGGGACTTGGCCAGAGATGATACCTTGTTCAAAAGCTCCTTTGATTCCCAGTGCCTGGAAGCAGCAGTTATCCCCCTCTTGAGGCTTCGTAGGGTACCAGTGGCTCTCCCCTCTCTGTGCGTAAAGGGCGGTGCTGATGCTGGAAGAGCAACTGAGATGTCTGTTTGTGGCAAAAGATGGAGAGGACCCACAGAACCATTCCAGGTCCGCAAGCCGTGTTAGCTAACTCCCCACATTGATCATGCAAAGGGTGGGAGCAGAATTATCTAGCAGCTATAACTGGGGAAAAGGTGAGCGGTTACACTTAAATATGTTTGGGATGCAAACTCTCCCCAATGAAAATTCATTTGCAAAGTTTTTAAACGTGCGCTTGCATGGAAAATTTATTTGCTCATTTATTCCAGCTATTTCTTTCAAAACGTAACGCCAGCATAAAGTGAAAAACGCTCTCTTTATTCATTCTGTGTTGTCAGCTATAGTGCAGATGGGAGAAGCAGTTTGCTCCTGTGTGGTGCACCCTGACTCTCAGAAGGTACAGATCCAGACCCCAGCTTAAAAAAGGCTCCCTGCCCCTGCTGGAACTGAAGGCGAAGACTGTGTTGCAAATAACATCAGCTTTCAAAAAAGAAAAGGCACTAGCTGGTGAATGCTCACTAGGATGAAGCCCCACTGCAGGCCCTAGAACAGGCATAGGCGACCTCGGCCCTCCAGATGTTTTGGAACTACAATTCCCATCATCCCTGACCACTAGTCCTGTTAGCTAGGAATCATGGGAGTTGTAGTCCCAAAACATCTGGCGGGCCAAGGTTGCCTATGCCTGCACTAGAATTTAATTTTGGGTCAAAATGCCTATATAGGATTGGGGTTCACACACATGGTATAGAACTCCGGCACAAATGGCGTATATAGTGAAAGGGTTTAGTCCCAAATGCTGGCACTGTGGTCAGGAAAAAGGACTATATTTACACATGTGGTGGGAATGTAATCTGGTTAAGGAATATTGGCAAAAGATTATAAAGGTAATTTCTGGACTATTTCAAATAAACATGGAAGTTAATAGGGATTTGTTATTTTCGAGAATACTGAGAAATAACAAAGTAAAGAGTAATAAGCAAGAGTTGTACAAGATTATGATTCTAGCTGGAATGGCAGTTATTGCTTTGGGATGGAAAGAAAAGGCCAAATGGAATATGGAAAAATGGAATGGTTATGTTTCTGAATACGTACAATCAGAAATATTCGCACAGATAGTGGCAGAGGATAGATGGGAAAATAAATGCCAAAGAATTACAAATAAATGGGCATTTTACAGGAACTGGATAGAAAGAGGGGAAGCCAACCCTAACATACAAGCTTGAATGAACAGACTGTCTACATGGATAAAGATATGAAGAAGGAAGGCCTGACTGGGGGCAGGGAGGACTGGAGTGGGAAGGGAGGGGAAAGGGGGCGGGGGATGGTATTTTGTTTTTGTTTTTTTCTTTTCTCTTTTTTTTGTTTATTTTTTTTAATAAGTTTTTATTGTTAAAATAGTTCATCATTAATACACATATACAAGCATACAAACATACATTTCATACAATCCTTAAAAGTGTTCAAACATACTTACACTCAATCCCACAAATAATTCCTTTCCCCATCACCATCCACCACCCCTCACCCCACCTTTGTGTTTGACTTCCAATCTACTCAATTACAATTTCTTTCCACTCCTATTACTTTCTTTCACACACCTTTAGCCTAATTTCATACTTCTTTTCTATTACACATTGTTATCCATCTTATTTGATATTTCAGTATTTGAAACGGAACTTGTTTATTCTAATAGGAGTTCTGATTTTTCGATATGATTTTGCAAGTATCTTTTAAACACCTTCCAATCCCTATCTATCTTTTCTTTTGAAATCCTACCAATTTCTTCCATTGTTTTGGATATATTGTAATACTCCAATAATTTGGCAAGCCACTCTGTTTTTGTTGGTATTATACCACTTTTCCAGTTTTTCGCAATCAATAGCCTTGCTGCTACTGTTGCGTATAAATATAAGGTCTTATCTTCTTCCTTTAGGCTTCCTGGTACTATTCCCAATAGAAAACCTTCTGGTGTTTTCCTAAATGAGTATCTAAACATTTTTTTCATTTCATTATATATTATTATTTCTCAAAATTGTTTGATGTTTAAACAATTCCACCATATATGTATCATAGTACCTTTTCCCGTGTTGCATCGCCAGCAGACATCGCTACAATTTTTATTCATTTTTGCTATTCTTTCAGGTGTTAAATACCATCTATGTTGCATTTTAAGGTAATTTTCTTTCAGTATATAACACATAGTGAATTTCATATCTTCTTTCCACAATTTTTCCCATTGTTCAAACATAATATTTTTCCCAATATCTTGCGCCCATTTAATCATTGATGATTTAACCAATTCATCCTTTGTTTCCCACTCTAAAATCAGATTATACAATTTATAAATATTTTTTGATT